TTTTTTGCCTTACCTTCACACTCATTGGACCCTGGAGCTGCCTTCTCACTGCCTGATCCAAACTTCAGTCACCAAGGCACCACCTGGTTTAAAAAAAAACAAAGGAGGAGAAGAGCATTAAACATGTGTCATTTAGCTTAAACCCTTCACCCGTCAAAAACAGTCACAAGAGAGTGGAGGAAATTTGGAACAACACACAAACATTTTTCATCTGCCTAAAAGCCCCCACCCTGGATGGGGTGCATATTCATTCTCTGTGGAAACCTCTGGGTGGAAATTCAACATATTTTTGTCCCACTGGAAATGTGGAGAGACTGGAAACATTCCTCGCCGGACAATAGGCTATCAAAGACCCCACAGACCACACCCTGTAGTTCACAGACATGAATCAGGCAGCAACAGGCTGCAGAGGTAACGGAACTGAGCAGAGAGCTCTGCTTACGGTTTCACAATCAGACTGAAGTGCAACTCTGTCCTGTCTCAACCTGAACATCATATGACGATCTGTGAGTTGGCAGCAGCGATGAGAATGTGCAATGAGACGATTAATATATGTGTGTACAAATAAAGATGACTCACATGGTTTTCATGTGATACACATTTGCTTTTTAAAAGGTTAATCCAACATTCAGGCTCCAACATTAATCATGCTAAAAGCACAAAATAAACATTCTGTTTGCAGCTTTCCCCCTTGTTTATATGTTGAAATACACAGGATGGGACTTTTCATTTGACTTTTAATTGTGAAGACTAATGTTTACACACTACCATGTCTTCAGAAGACTTGATCGCTCAGTTATGTTTGCCCTCTAACGTGTAAGGAAATCATTTTAAAAAATGAAACAAGTAAAATCGTGGAATTTCTGATTTTGTATGACCAAATAAAATAAGCAAGTTGCCAGTACTAGAAGCTAAAACATGACCATCAAGTTCTTAAAATAACCAGTTGTTAATCAGTTAATCTACTTATCATTTTAGCCCTAAACAAGAACAAAGTGTGACTGCTGTGAGAACTGAGAGCATGCTCTGTTATTTTTAGTGTCTCCATCTAACTGAAATGAAACATTAAAAAAGACTTACTTAATAAAACAGAAAAATGACTACACGTGAAGAGGTGATATATGACTCACACCAGGTAGGCTGTGTGAACAATGTGAGTTGGATGTTGGTGAGAAACAAAAGAGCATTATGTCATTGACGTGGCTGAGCTACAGGATGGGAGGTGTCACTTTAACACCAGGTTGCACATCCTGATTACAGGGACAGATAAAATGCAGTTGCTATCTATAATCGAGTTTACTAATCATGCGCACAGAGACTTTCCACGTTTACGGTCTTGCTGCAAAGCAAACAATGATGTGGCAGCCCACTTGGCAACCAATACAAATAATGCCTTTACAATCTGATCTTGAGCTGTGCTAGTCTAGGCAGGTAAGAAGAGCGGCACTAAATGCAGCTTTGTATATTTTCATAAGCTTGTTTAAAAGCAGAAGCGGTCAACTTTTTACAGCCACTGTGCCTCACAGCGCTTTAAACCCGCTGACTGCTTTCAGTGCCTGCATCTAATCAAGCTTCTAGCCCCATTATCTCTCCCTCCCATTTGCTCCCTCGTTCCCCCACTCTGACCTTACAAGGAGAGGCAACAGGGTTGATGTCATTGAATGAAGAATGCTGCAAGAATCCAGAGAGAAAAGAGAGGAGGAGGAGGAGGAGGACGAAGAGGGGGTCTGACTGGACAGTTTATGAACACACACACAGAGAGAGAGAGGGGGGGAGAGAGAGAGAGAGAGAGAGAGAGAGAGAGAGAGAGAGATTTTGTTTACATAGTAATGCACAAGTCCTAAGCCAGACTCAAACGAGAAAGAACTTGTTTGGAAGGATGGTGTCATTCTTTCTCCAGGCTGAAAAGCAAAGGGGGAGGGTCTAATAGCTGGAGAGGGGAAGAGAGAAAGAGAAGTTGCCATTACTGACAACTCTTACTCAGCCCAGGAGCCAGAGAGGAGGAAGAAGAACAAAAGGAAAAGGGGGGAAGTAAAAGGGAGATCCACAGTGCAGCTGTGCTAACAGGGTAAGTAAATGTCTCTCTTGTGACTGGGATCAGGATGGAAGGAGGTGGTGGCATGCTTTAGTTACGTGAGCAAATTTTTACAGGTTACCTAATAAGGTAAAGTCCTTTTGCAGCAGCATGCTAGGGCAGATTTTCGTTACTCGGAAGGAGGTGTTGAAGGAATGTCAGCTTTGTTGGCGTGACAAGCAGTGTGGATTTGTCATAAGGTTCGGTTTTTACCGTTAAAAAAAACAATGGTGCAGAAAGACACCTCGTGGTGTGCGGGGCTTCCCTGGTGTCTCTGTCAGACTAGCAGTTTAGCGTTGAACGTGAACAAATCCACTCTCCAGCTGATGATACTGATGATAAGGCATGGCTATGCGGAAGCTCCTGCAGGAAGTCCAGCTTTTCTTAAAAAAAAAAAAAAGTTGTTTAAGCTAGGCAGCTAGCCATGCAGCTGTATGCTTTTATTTATTTCACAGGGTAGCACAATTATTAGATTTGATGACAGTGCTACTGGGACAAACTGGTTTCCATATGTGGTAACGTTACAAAAAAAGGGGCAGTGGTGTTTGCGTTTCACCGGGGCGAAACCTACTGACCAAAGCATGAGTCGCCTGGGAGTGTAGGGGCGTGTGCGGAGCTAATAGTACCATTAGTGTGACTGATGCTAAGCCACGCAGGTTATCACACAGCTGACCTACGGTGCAGGTGAGTATCGGTAAAAAGATGTTTTTGTTGGTTTAATTTTGGGGTTAACGTGTGTTAAAGCTAAACTGGATGGGCTAACGTTGCCATGGCGTTGTGTATGTTAATATTAACCTGATTGGGACACGTCGTTAGCTACGCTAGCAAGCTTTAGCGTAAAACCTTCATTTGTTATCCTTAATTTTGCCCTAATGGTTGGTTCAAGTACCCTAGCTGCCGCTCACCCAAGCCTGTCAGCTGTCAAAGTAATGACCAACAGATGTAAACCTAACTGAGCAGCAAACTACTGTACATCGAGTATGTTAAACCTATTGATTGTGCCAGTAGGTGGAACTTGACTTCGCTGTTATAACTCCATTGATTAGGGCTGTAAGCATGGCTGTTTCAACTCTTCAGCGCAGGGGTGTCACACTTATTTTAGTTCTTGGTGCACAGCTAGCCTACTTTAATCTGAAGTGGGCCGGACCAGTAAAACCATTACATCAGGTTTCCCCCCCTCCTGCAGGGCATTCAGGCCCTGCAGGTGGGGCCCAGTGCTGTGCCAAAAAGTGATCATCTGCTAGATAGTGACTTCGGATGTTTCTCTGTGCAGTACCTTTGGTTATATTGGTGATGTAATGTAGTTAACACAATTTTCGAAGCAGTTGTGCATAAAATTTTAAAAAATGCTTGTTTTGTAAGCATCTTTAAGACGCTGGGTTATTGTACTCACTTTTTGTTCTACGTTGTAATCAGTCCAGTCCTTTGTGGCCACTTTAAATATCTTTATAGAACTGTAATGTTATATTTTTTATTGTTGTTATCTGCTGTCAAAAGAGCTATGACAAAATAATAATGACCGTTTTTACCCAGATAAATAAATGTAATATGTAAGTCACTTTGCCATAAACTGGTTAAGGCTTCTGCCTTGTGATAAAATGTTCTTCTTGGCTCAAAATGGTTTGGTATCATTAATGTTACCAAGTCATATTGAAACGACTCATTTGCAACAGTTTAAATATAGAAAATCATTTTTGAGCAGATACCAGAAGTCACATTTTACCACAGCACCTTCTTTTTTGCTGATCTTTCTTCATAATAATTTAATTGGATCTCTCTCTCTCTCTCTCTCTCTTTTTTTTTAATTCTAAGTGATCAAAACAAACTGAGTTGTGTGTGGCCCCCAGGCCAAATGTTTGACACCTTTATTGTTGTGTGCCATAATGAGGTGAATGAAATATTTAGAACACTTCTGACTATTCTTGTCACAACCACACCCAAAATAAAGCAGAAGACATCACCTTTCTGACACTGTCAACAAAAACTGAAAATGTCTGCGCTTCATCAAAGTACGATAGAGCTGGACTGCACTAGTATCAGTTGAGCTAAGCTCAACTAAGCTGCCTATTAGAAAGGAATAAGGCTGTACACTGGTTTGTGCTTTTACAAATGCAAGTGTCCAACGGTGGTGTAAAATATCAGGAATGTGTAGGGTATATGGAGGGAAAGTATCAGTCACTAACAGGCAAATTATAACAGCAGGCAGTGGTAGAGACAAATGTACAGCTTTGCATACTAACATGCGATTAGTGCTCAGCGGATTAAAGGAAATTGGGGCTTGTATGGATATACCATTTTTAGCATAGATTTCTGCAACCCTGAGAATGTTAAATTCCTCTGACTAGGAGGACTCAAGGAGCCTTAACCCAAGGCCACAGTAACTAAGCTGTGTTTAAGAACAACTTAAAGTACGAACACTCTGGTCTGAGGTTTGTGTGGTGCTGTTGCAAAGACTGGGAATATTATGATCGCTGACGCCTCTGTAAGTTGGTGAGGCAACTAAAAGATATGAGAACAAGGACTAAATCGAGCAAAGAGCAATCCTCCTTAATTGTAGGAGCTGTGAATCAAAAGGCACGAGTTATTGTAGAGGAACACTTTGCCTCAAGTCACTTTTTTTGTCTCTCACTTCCTTGTGACTCCTCTTTGGCCAACACTAGACTGTATGTAAATGCATTAAGAAAGAGTTTTTGGTGGTGTGAGTGTCTGACGTGATAATCCAGTGGATGATGATGTGACCAGTTTTGAAATGTTTCCTGTTTCCATCACTCATCCAGCTGCGTCAGAACACAGCACTGTTGCTCAGTGCACGTCCAGTGACCTGTAAGACTGGACTCAAAAGAGTTGTTTGTCCCCCGCATTAGTGACCCGTGGCCCAGACACGCTTTCCCAGAAACCGGGTGTGCTATTAACATCAGAACAATAGAGAGTTTCATGAACAACACAGTAGTCACAGATAATGTGTCTAACCAGGGAGGAAATACTGGAAGTACTGTTAGGTTTTCTTTGGGATAGCTGTTCTTTAATATTCCTAGTGTTGTTTTGGCTTAAAAAATGAGACTACAGCAGTTTTGTTTTTTTTGTTTCGTGTTGTTTTTACTCATCCCATGTGGGCATGGTGGTTATGTCACTTGTAAGAAAACAGTATCCACATACTGTGGGTGTTTTTGTTTTCTTTCAGTAGCATTAGGACATAGACTTGTTTAATTAGGCATCGTGTTTCAGTGCTTCCTTTGACAAAGCTGGAGCACAGTATATTAACTAAATTTAGTTCCTCTATAACCATAAACCAACAGGCCACTGCTAAGTTCAAAGCCATCCTCGTCAAAAGTGGAATAAAGTTTTCCTTAAAAGCCACATAGTTGCTGCTTTCAGAGACAGCTTGTTCGTGTTAAACTTTGTCCAGGACAAAAAGCAGCGATAACCGAAGGCATGCCACAAAATGCCCTGGTTTTACAGTTTTAAATATTATTTCATGCTGTGCCTAAGGTCTTTATTTTATCGTCTTGAAGAAGTATCCCAGTTTTCTAAGGCATTGAGCCTGCAGCCAAGCTGATGAGTGCAATAACCCTACTGGTTTCTATATCCTTCAGGTAGTTAGGCTGTTTACACTTAACCTGGTATGAAGGAATCAAAACCAACTGTGCCGGTTTTCTACTCTGTTAAAGCTGTCCAGCCATGTGGCGTTTATACAAAGTTCAAAAGCTAAAGAGCACCATGTGTGATCTATGCTCGGCCTGCACGATGCCATCCTTCATCACAGCTGTAATGTAGAAATGACTAAGTGCGTCCTCAAGTGATGTCATTCAGTTCAAGTGGCTGGTAAGAAACCGCAACCGGGGTTTCTCACCCACCACTTGTACTGTGATTTTCAGAAAAGACTATGAGATACAAATCTATAGCTGTGCTCCTTTACAGAAGATTAATACATACATTGGATTATGAGGGCAAGCAAAGACATCCATGTCTTGTTAAAAGAGAAAAAAACACTGCAAAGATGCATAGAAGGAAATGGTGATTAGGGGAAAGCAGAAAATGGGGGAAAGGGGAGGGGGGGGGGTGATGTCATTGAGTTGGTGTGCCAGAAATGTTCCTCAGCTGAGGGTCTCTCTCATCTCAAGGATCAGGTTTCAAGATTTGCAGCAGGGCATCTGGACCTGAGTGTGTGGTGATCTCACCGCCTTGAATCCCCCAAGACTGCATCGAGGAACATATGAAACCTAACGCTAGCTTATCATCACTGTTTGAATAATTAAGAGGACTATTGTTGATTTAGAAACTGTAACTAAAGGGCGACCTCATAGCCTCCCTTTTTAAGAAGGCACTCATTTTAGAAAGCCACATGGAGCTAAGTGTTCTGTTTAGAGTCTGTTGTGGCCACTACTTTCAACATGAAGTAGGTCTTGATAGTAGGTTAATAAGTAGCCAGCTATTTTTCCAAAAGGCTGAACACTCTTTGAGTAGTCTTATTCTCCCATTCCTGCAGCGAGTAGTGGAGCCTCTCTGATGCCACTTTCACCTCTTTACAAATGAAACAAAATGGTTTACACCACATCATGCTCAGATTCTACCTTACAGTTAAACTAATTTATTCTGTCTAGGTGACTCTAGTGTGCACTATAAGCAAAGAAGAAGCGAGAGGAAGGTAAAGGAGAAAAGGCAAACTGAGGGAAATCGGCTGTTAACACATTTCTTTCAACATAAAGTTGAGCAGAGCTGAAAGGTACAGAAGCGTTGAGCTGTTAAAACCAGAGTGACACTGTCATAATTACCTAGCACAAGTTAAGATTATGAAACGCATGAGCCTTAATTTTAGGGTGCAGTATCTTGCACAAGGACTCTCCAACATACAGACGAAGGAGCCGAGAATCAAACCACTGAAGTTTTGAATAGTAAACAGCCTGCTCTAAATCCTGAGTCACCATGAACAAGACTCTTTGGAAGGCACAGATGAGAACTGGGTAACCAGTGAGTAGTGTAAGGGCTTCATCCAGGAGTGTGGCTGAAGCAGATATTGTGATGTGTATGATTTGACATGAAGATGATTCAAAAAGCCAAGTTTAATTTCCCTTATCCAAAAACAGACTTTGTTGACAGCCACTTTGAAGAAAGCCACCATCTTGGCTAATGGGGTTTACCAAAGAAGTCATCATAAAAGGGTAACTATAGCAGTTTGGGTACTTGAATCCTCCTACAGAGAATTTCCCTGTAATGCTAAATTTCTGCGGCACTATTAAGCTTTATCATATGTTGGGCCAGTTGGTTTTAACTGGTGGGCAGTGAGCTATCTAAGACATTCTGAGGAAATTGAATTTTCAAATGCCACAATGACATGGCTTCTTAATTTAAAAAACAAACAAACATGGGTGCAGGTACTTATTTATATGGGGATAGATGCATTTTTTATTTCTTTTGCTTTTGCAAGTTCTAATCAAACCTTTGCACACTCATGCAAACACATGCACCACTAAATTATTACGTATCTGAAAGACTGGCTGGTATAGTATCTCATTTAGTAAACATAATTTATTGTAATGCGTATTACTGTATTGGTATTAGTTACTGTAACTTCAGTGTTACAGTACCCGTGTAATATCAGACACTCGGTTAATCTTTTACATTTATCAGGATAATACAATCATTTACAATTATGGTGACCTCTGATCTCTTGTCCCTTAACACCA